CCCCCCACTAAAAAAACAAACCTTACTTTATAGACACCAGCCAAAAGTCTCGATTAAAGAAGGGATGAAAGATCTGCACCGCACCACTTTCCAAATAAAAATAATTTCTCTTTTATCACTGTGAGTTACATGGCACTCGTTTTAGCTTGACAGACTCTTGTGTAATTCTCTGCCAAAAATTTTGATTGATGAATATTATTCAAATTCCATTACAAAGACAATGAATAATACATGTGCATCTTTTGTCTGAATGGTGATTATTAATCACTTTTCTTTTGCTAACATGAACACATTTTGCCCCCCCAGGGAATCCTTCAACAGGCTCCGGAACCAGCCAACTGCAGTGCCTTGATATCCTCATTCATGTCATCATTATCAGTGTTATTAGTCTCCAAATATCTCTGATCGTCTCTTCATCGTGAAACAGCTCGCATGTCGACCGTGTGATTCTGCACAGCACAAGTTCATCGACATTGATTTATTCATAACTTTTTGACACAATTGTTAAGTTTGGTTGTGAGACTGGATGGTGCCGTTGCCTGGAGTACACGGCAGAGATGTACACTTTCTTTGAGTTTGTCAAACCATTCAATTATTTGTCTTACTTTATTTATTAATTGTTTAATACTCTGTTTCGTTATGTACAATTATGTTTGGGTGCGTTTCATGTTGTTGTGTTTTTTTTGCTTTCTATATGTTAGCTATCAACCCCCCCCCCTTTCACCCAGCATTTTTTCCACCAAATCACTAGACCTTATGGAGTAATCTTCGCGCTTTGGTAAAGAAAAGGGTATTCCGTGTTCTCATAGTCAAACTTCACTGTTTACTACTTTGTTGTTTTGAAAAGAATCTTTTGACTGTGGACATTTTGGGGGTTAGATGACACCATGTCGTGTGCATCTTTCTGAAAGGCAGATGAGGTGGGGATGGGGTGGGGTGGGGGTGAGAGTTGTCTGCGGAAAGGGACGGGATGGGGTAGATGATCAACTTATATCTCGAAATTTTAAAGTTCTGTGTCATTTGAGTAGAATTTTCAGAACTGAAGAGAAAAACAACGTCTTGTAAGTATCAAACTTATTGAAATGAACGGTCACATTTGTAGTAGACACTATCATAAAAGCTTGATATTATCGATAACTAGAATATTGTTACTCTTTGCTATTGGATATATCGTTACTTTCACTGGGGTCTAATAGTTTGTAGAGCTCAGAAGCTCCTCTTCGGGTTTTGAAAGCTTGGTTTACTTTGAGTGCCGTTTTGTTTAAGAAATGCCCAGGTTCATATTTACATAATTAAGCCCAACACAAGAGCAGCTGTGCATGATACGTAGTGCATCTTTAAACCAGCGACCTTATCTTTTTGTTTCAATCAATAAGTCGACGTATTGTTGTCCGTCTTTTCTGAGGAGTAGTACAATAACATTTTTCTGACTGGTGATATGTTGCACCCCCTATCGACAATATTCAGATCAAATAGAAGGCGTAAACTAGGGCTAGTGGGATACAGCCTTGCAGCAGAAGGACGGAGACACTTTAAAAAAATACAACAACAAAAACCCCATACTCCTCACCTGGGACGCGAACTCACCCAAATAATACAGTACAGAAGCCGGTAAATATTTTCAGAAACGAAAGAATACTCATTACTCTACTTTGTTTCCGTATCCACCACTAATGCCACCACCACCGTTGTCGTCATTGCCACCCATAAAGTGGAAGGCTTCTTTTGTTAAAATGTAATTGTAGTTTCACGTCACCATCGACAAAATTACCTTAATTTAGAAGGTGAGTTGGTTCGGTGAGTTGTCGGGACCCGCCAGGGATGAAAAAGATACAAGATCACAGCAGAAATGCGGATATACTCGATAAAAATTCTCCCCACATGGGAATGGAACTCACGTCTCCTGCGTGGGACAACGAATCATCTAACCACTGCCCCATAGACGCCGGTGATGATTTCGTCAGCATCGTCATCATTTTTATAATCTTTTGAAGAAGATACACAAGACTGTCATGGTTTTTAAAAATATCTTGAGAGATTCTGCTGGCTTCTATTATAATCATTATTGCCATCCCCATCAATATATAATGCAGTAAAAGCGGCACCAGAGACCAAGAAAAATCATCGTTCTCCGCTCATATACAGCTGGCTTTGGGTCTAATAACGCGCTGCCTGGGGTCAGCCATTAAATGTAAGAGCCCACAAAAAACCCAGAAATGATGGACGATATCAAAGTGTAAACTGGGCTCAAGCTTTTACTTTCCTCTTGATTATTGTTTGTTTTTGTTCATTTATTGTTGTTTATCTATTTTCTGTTTAGTTATCGTCAGTTGAAAAAATGTAGGTTTTTAGTTTTATTAGCTGCTCAGTTAGATTATGTTGTGTTTCTGCCCTTACATGTAGCCTATATATGTTCGAGTGCATGTTTGTTTGTTTAGATGCTATTTGTTGTTGTTTGTTTGCTTGTTTGTTTGTTTGCTTGTTTGTTGGTTGTTTTTGTTGGGGGGGGAACATTGAATTCTGGAACGCATCTGTATACATCAATACAACAACTGAGTTAAAACTGTACAGCGGGATTTACGCAAACAGTAAACAAAATTTAATGAACCCTGACCCAAAGCAAACAAGGAAAAGAAGATGCAACATCTTTTTCAGCCAGCCACATAGAAAGTTCACTAGAGGTTTAGCTGTGGCAGGCCTTAAGTCTGTGCTTGATGTCAATGACAGAATCGTTGGATCTTCGAAGTGGCAATAAGTTGTCTACATAAGAAACAGTATCCGAGGGATTGTTCACCTCATGTCAACGTGTTATCCCGGGAAGCCTCAACTCTGACCTGTTCCTTTTCCATCTGAGCCCATGGCTATTTTCATTTACTGACAAAAGGTAGAGTGAACCCTTAAGTCTGGACGGTTTCCATCGATTTGGGGAGATAATACAGAAGGACGTTGAGGGAGACAACTTGGGGTCGGTCAGGTCCAAGGAGGTTATACAGTAAGGTCCTTGGTGAGGTCTCGTTTGGAGCGGAAAGAAAAAGCGGAGAAATGAATGCCAGTCCTCGGTTGAATGGATGAAAAGACGAACCGCCTTTTTCTGGGAAGAAGGCTGGATAATGAAGGGCAGCGGCCATCCAGACACAGTGCCTGACTCGAAGTAGAAACTTTCGGTTTACTTCGTGTGACATCATTTGACTTTGAAAGCATCTTCAGAACAACACAAAAGTTTCTTGGGTGACTTTTGAGGTCGGGGTTTCCTCACAGCACAATGACCGTCTTCGACACTGGAGAAACTGTGCTGGGACTTTCTCTCCATATTACTATCCGTTGAAATGCCCGTAATTTTCCTCTTTGAGAAGAGAATTTAACTTTCTCTTACGGTACTCTACATTCTATGCTTAAATCGTCTACACAAAGGAAACGGAAATAAATTGGAACTCAATAGGCCTGATTTTGTACGATTTCAGAAAAGGATCGAGGAGTGAGTGCGTTCATCTCATAAGTGTGAAAAGAACAAAAGACAACAGCATCTATTATCCACATTTTTCTGAAGGCTCCTAATGCTGACTGTGCGAGTGATAAACCTGATCCAAAACTTGAGCTTGAATTTCTGCAGCCTGCTGTTGAAGTTGTTGTAGTTCAATTGATCAAATTATTTGTTTGCAGTTTGTGTGTTTTTATAGCATCTTGTAGATAGTGGTACCAGGGAATTTGTTTGGCCCTGGCTCGGACCATATTACTATTACTACGTTTACATTTTCATTTATGTTGGATACCGGTACTACATGTATAATACAAATGAGTGTGGGTGCACGCCAGCGCTTATGTACCCGAATATATATATATATGTGTGTGTGTGTGTGTGTGTGTGTGTGTGTGTGTGTATGTGTATGTGTGTGTATGTGTGTGCGTATGTGTGCGTGTTTGAGAGATAGATAGAGAGAGAGAGAGAGAGAGAG